TTAAAGTTTAAACCCGAAGAAAATACAAACTCTTAGAAAATCACAAAATCAAGTGTGAATTCAAAAATTACATTGAACGGGCATTTTGGACAAAGTGTCATTTCACAGGCACAACGCCAAAAAAATAAAATTAATGCCAAATTTTCACTTTTTCCGCGGATATTTTCATTTTCAAAAATTATTAACCATATTTTTACATTGGCAAGGTAATTTTTTACTTTTTTGGGTAAAAATTAGTGGAGAGAAATCGAAAAATAACCAAACATCTTTTATGAAATCCGTATCATTTTTTTGAATCTTAAAATAAATTTTAAAAAATATTTTTTTTCTATCTTAAGTTGGAGAAATTGTTGCGATGATTCGAATTTCTCCCAATCATTTTTATTTGCTCGCTGGATTTTGTAAAATTTAAAAAATTAGAAAATTTATCTTACTTTTCAGTGTTGCACCGATTTTTCATTTTTATTTATGCACCGGATGGAAGTAAACTTAAATTAATTTCTAACTTTATTCTTCTCATTCTTTAGATTATACAATTCCAGTTTCATATGATACTCATATAATTTCCTCCACCAATAAAAGTAAGAAAATAAAGTTAGGCTTCGATATAAGGCTTCTATAGACCTGAGAGATATATCGCACCTTATAATGAGAGGTATATTAATTAGGAGGTTTAGAATAGGTAGCTCTCCGACAAAGGTCAAACGAAATTTGAGAAAATCTCTTAGATAGAGGTGTATTTTATGAAGTTATGTTAAAGGAAATCTAACGGTCAACTGAGACCTAACCAACTTTGATGAGTCTGTCTCATATGAAAAGAATCAAGTCTGATCACTAATTACAACTACACCAAAAGTATACATATCTAATTAAGACCTTTTTGTGGGTGATTAGAGTTGATTCACTCTTATGGAAAGAAGATACGCTTTATCGAGGTCTTTTGGGTGACATCGATCAGATGAGTAATATGCATCAGATCGGATCAGGTATCTGAGCTGTCTGACCAGATCAGATAGGATCAGACATTCGATTACATAAGTAATACACAGATCTTTTCGGATCAGATGAGGAATAAAAAAGTTATGATGATCAAAGTTGGCTGACTCTTAGCCCCTTGTCCCTTATACCGATGCTCCTTATTTAACAATTCCCTAAAAACTTTAATTAATTTACAGCAATTAACGGAAAAAGCACAGTTAATTATTTAATGAGAGGAGTACATCCCATATTCAACGAAACAATTAAAGGTATTTTTTGTGAGAAATTTTAAAATATCCATAATTATTTTAAATAGATGGAGATGGAGGAAAATTAAATTTATTTGATACTTTTGGAATTATAAAGACTTATGGTAATTTTAAAATGTCTGAAATTTTTTAAAATTTATTTAAAGATCGCTATGTGACAACAGTTAAGAAAGTGGGGGGAATGAAAAATACTCTTTATCTTCTTGAAGGTATTTTTTGAAGGAAAAATGAGAGATAACTAAGAGCGTAGACACGGGCAGAGATTGATCCTTCGATCTACTGCTTAGCTCTAGCAAGGATTTGGACGTGGGTGATAACAAGGATTTGTACCTTTTACAAGGGATTTGTACACTTCCTTACAAATACTTCGGTATCCCTCTTAAGCCCCCAAATTTTCGATTTTTTTGCGATTATAAGTGTTCAGTTTTCATTATCAAATCAATCTAGTGTATAATTAGGGTTGCCGTTCTCAAGTCGGGCTGTACGTTTCTTTTTCGAGCCAAATATCTTAGGTCCGACTCGATCTTTCGGCCGAGTCGGTCCATTTTGGCAACCCTAGCTATATTCCATTTTATCAAAGAAAAGTCCGAATAGTCGGAGCTTAAAATTTGGACCTTAAAAAATTAAGTAAATCTGAATTATGGCCCTACGTTACACGCAGGTTTCAATAATATTTAATTTTCAAAAAATTTTAAGGTGTGAACAAAGATGTTCCGTTTGGTAAATACTTTTATCAGTATTAAATTTAAATTAATTTTCAAGTTGAAAGCTTTCCGATAGATCTTTATGATAGAGCACGTGGCAGATTCAAAGCAAGTCTGGGCCCTGGAGGTTAAAAGATATTCCAGAGATTTCTACAAATTCCAATTTTCATAGAAAAGTTTCAATGCGGGCCATCTTTTGCAAGTCCAGTAACACACCAAGCTGCAAAATTGGCTTGCTACAATAAAACAGGTGTGCCTTTTGTGTTACAAAATATGTAGATCCACTTCGACTTAAATTTAAATCAGGTCGTCTGATAGGTGGGAAGCTTCTAGGCGAACCTCCCAATTTAGAAAATTATTATAAGTTCGCCTCGTTTAAAATACGTTTTTGCAAACCATTGAATTTGGTTTAAAAACCCAACGGGTATGTCCACATGGTAGAGCGAACTGCCTAAGCAATACCCTCTATTTAATAAACGCTTTATTATAAGATACAGCCAAATCTTGTCCCAATATATTTTATAGCAAAGTCCAGCTATGTAAACTTTTATGGTTTTCAGCCGAAGTTAATGAATGCTGTATTGAAATAACTGCCTGTTATGATCGTTGCGACGAGAAGGAAAAATGTGACAATAAATTTTGTGATTGCTTAGAAGTGATCCTAAAGGAATATTTTCGATTAAAATATTAAAATTTAAGAAAACTGCCGAAGATAATATTGCTTGTCTTTTTGGACAACAAGGGGTTTGTTCAATTGTTAGAAGTGCTGGTTACATTACTTATGTTACGGTGGATTTTTAAAATTAATTTTATTGGAGCTGAAAGGCCTCTTCAGAATCGTTGCTGTAGTCTCAAAGCTTATTTTGATTCTTAACCGATTTAAGAAAGCTCTTGATTTGGATATTTATTAGCGGGCTGATTTGGTCAGATCATCCAACTAAAAGTTACATCCAATTAAATATCAAAAAGCACAACTATGCGCACTTATCCAGGCGTGACTTTGAGTAATGTGATCTGATCGAGTCAATCCTGCTAGCTTAAATAATCCGGACATCCAAAGCTTTCGATTGATATAATAAATATTTTAATCGGTTATGGAGCAAAAATGTTATGGCCCAAAGTATGGAATCGAGACTTAAACAGCGCTTAGAGATCCCCTACCCAATAGAAGATATTGTAATGGACCTCCTCCATCCCCTAACCGAGTTTTAGTCCCTAAATTAATAGCTTTCAATTGATATAAGGCATTTTAAAATCTGCTAAGTAAGGATTTAGTTGTGACTTTAAATAGGGCTTCGAGACAGGAAAAGGCCTGGATGGAGTCTAATATTATTTTTAAACTTTAATTTCAAGTCTGGATACAAGTGTGTTGCTCAAGCAGTAATTGACGGTGTTAGTTATGCCGTCAAAGAAGGCATTGGATGGAATGAAATCAAGTCTGTTTGGAACGGAGCAAAGACAGCAGGGAAATCATTAGCAAGAATTGCGAGTGGTCTTTTTGGATAACAAAAAATGAAATTTTTATGAATGCTTTAAATGTCAAGAAATAAATAAAGTTAATAATAAAAAATATCTGAAAATGAAATTAATTACAATATTTATTAAAAAAATCAGAAACTATTTACAATTTGAGCTAATTATTAGCAATTTTAGTTAATTAAATATATACACATCAGCCTTCCAAGAATACAGTCGGACCTCTGAATAAGACACGGAATGAGATAACCCCAAATACTAGATACCCTTCTTTTTAATAAACGTTTGAAAAATTTCTTGTCCATTAATAGGAAAGGTGTCTAATCAGGCCCTCTATTTAAGATATTCTTCAGTATAAGATACTAAACTCTTATGAAATCCCCCAGAACTAGTGACAGGCAAAATCGAACCAGGTCTCGAGATCACGAAAAAACCCGAACTAGGGGTTCGGATTCCGGAAAAATCCGGCAGGATCCGGTACGGCGCCGGTCACTACCGAAGACTGTATACACAGTGGACCTGTTCAGATTTGCGTCTTCCGCTTTAATAATACGGACGGTACATTACTGGTATTCAATTTCATTTAAGATACGTTTCGTTAGAATCAGTTTACCATTTAGGCTACAATTTAGGGAAGAAGCTTAATCTTACACTCTATTTAATATACCCCTAGTTAAAGGGTACTGATTTTAACCCCAATAGTGTCTCTTATAAAGAGGTCCATCTGTAAAATTATCATCTCAAAATTAATTTATTCATTAGTAGTTTCTCCCAAATCCAAATCTTTAACACTCAAACAAGACAAATTTGAAGAAACTGAAGATAACGACGAAGAAGATGCTCTACTCAACACCTTCGAGCCTTTAAGTTTGTCCAAAAAGGAAAGCCAATTCTTCCTTTTTCTTCCAAAAACCACATTTTCCAATTCCTGATCATCAAAGATTTTATCAGCCAAGTTTATCGAATTGTCCAGATTCACTTTTATTGGAATCTTGGCTGCTTCAAACATTGTTTCACATTTAGTTTTGACTTCTTGAATACAATAGCCAATTAGTACTTGGCGGAAAACTGAGTTTTCCAAATTTTGACAAATGTCGATAGATTCTAATACTCGCTCGAATCCGTTTCTTTTCAGTTCTATCAAAGCTTCAGACCACTAGAAAAATTTAAAAAATATTTTAAGCATAATAAATTAAGTGGCAAATCGGTACTTAATCTCCAACATGATCCTTTTCAGTTTCTGTCTCATATAAAAATTATTTATGTGTCATAATGGTCAAACAAATATTCATTATGAATTGGGGTTTATCCACGTCCTTGGGTAAGTGAATTTTCCGGAAAACGAAGGGAAGTCTCCCCATAGCCCCGTCTCCGTCCCTGAATTTCAAATTCTCCGTTTCCGTAAGAATTGGGAATTATTTGGAATTAATTGAAATTAATTGGAATTACTTCTCATTAACGGAGAGAAGTCTTTCCATGGCGTAATGTTGTACCCTATAATGAATGTATTTCCATCTAAATTATTCTGTCTTAAGTACCCCTCTGTATTTCCCTCTCAAGTCCCTGCCCAACCCTATTCAAAACCTAGAGATTTTGAATTTTTCTTTACCGCTTTTTTCTTTTCGGACTGAATCCTTTTCAAATTAGCCTCAACAAATTCCAAAAGTTGATTAAACATTCCTCGACTTTTAAATAATTCTAATATATCTTTTTTATTCTTTCTGATTATTTTTAACAAATTTATGAAATTATCAAGCCTTTCATCTTGTAATATTGACATTTGATTTACCAAAAAATTTAATATTTCAAGATCAGGGCGTTCCGATATATACGCATGTTGTTCAACTTAATTGAAGAAATTTTGATTATATATTAGTTTGAAGGAAGTATACTTGACAGGTTGTATCGCTAAGGCAGCTCTCCGCCCTCTCCCTCCCTCCTCCCTCAGTGGCCAACAAACTTTTGAGTCTAAATAATTTAAGACCTCGGTGTAAAACGCCCTTGGAACTGAGAAATATTACTTTATAACGAGAGGTGTTTTGAATAGAGAGTATTCTTTAAGGAGCATCTCCACACAGGGGCCAACTATATTTTATTATTCTAAAATCAGTCGGACTTAGGTATATCTTAAAAAACGTGTATCACTTAGGCAGCTTCCCCACCCTTTAGCCTTAAAGCTCATCCTAAATGGAGGTTATCGCATAGAGAGTCCGAAGCTAGTAAGACCAATTAAATTTCACCAATTATTTCTGGAGGCCGCTCAACTAACTGAACTCCTGTTAGTTGCTCAGCTAACTGAACATGTTGCTGCTGTCGACGAGGAGCAGATTCAATTGTATTAAGTAAATAAAATGAAATTATTGTTATAAATAAATTGAATTTGGAAGTCATATTTTATTATTATTTCTCTTAAATTGAGATGAATATTCAGACAGTTGATCTGTTTGCACACCCCCCCCCCCAATCGACCAGATGAAGATATTAGATAGTCCTCTAGGCTAATCCTCATTATAAGGGGCAGGCTCCTGACGGTTTAATCTACCTAGATTGGGCTACAAGGACACTGCTTCACCTTTACTTCTAATAGAGGCCTGCGGAAATTTTATAGTTTTAAAAAATATTTTAAACAGACTGACAATAAATTAACGACTAACCATTTTATAGACTTCCTTTTCTTAAGTAAAAGGGCAATAATAAAGACATCAGACTTGTTTATTTAATTCGATTATGCTTAAAAAAGTACAGGCGACCTTTAGCTAAAGTGCATGTGAAGAAGCATTTTGAATAATAACAATATTTGACAAAAACAAGGCACTAACTGATAAAAAAGCTAGTGTGATGCAATGTAAAAGGTCAAAGTTTTCGATAAATCCCACACCGAATAATTAGATTGAATCAGAAATATGGTCAGACCTCACTTTAAGATACCCCTTTTGCCGACTATGAGGAAAGAAAATGAAGGCTCCCGGACCGTTCAACTGAATCACGGCTACTCTGAGTCCTGGCCCTATAATTCAAGAAATGGTGCATAATTTTTAATGTTTTTGATAACATAGATAGATACCAATTGATACAAATAGATACCAATACATAGAATTTCCCGGAGATGCCTGTGGACCGAGATAAAGGTCCCCGAAAATCGAAAAACCATAGGGTAGGGGGGGAGTTTTCGATATTTATGGACCTATACACACAGGCATCTCCGGAAAAAGAAGAGTGGTACCGTTCGACTTAGCTTGTTGAGATGAACACGCCGGTATACTAAACCACAACCATGATTTTATAATGATTTGTTTTCCTAGAAAAAAGCCGGTTCCGGCCGCAGTATGGACTTGAAAACCGGGGCCATCCTACGAAGTCATGAGAATTAAAAGTTTCTATATATTTTATGGAAGATTCTTAAACAAAAAATTATTAAAAATTATTAAAAATTGTCAAGTAGACATTAAATTACATAATAAACAGACAAAAAGTGCAAAAATGGATTAATTACACGTCTTATAATGCCGCTTAAAGGGCATCTATAGCTTTATGTCTACTTCCATTTTATTCATTTTTTAATAATGAAACTTGAAAATTATTTTTGTTTAAATTATATTTTAATTAAAATTGTGCTTCAACTAATTTTAATTAACTCAACGTTACAAACTGATCCGAAAGGGAAGTCGATTGTTAACGAGCCCAATGTTGGAAGAAATCATAAAGCTTTTAAATTTGTTGGAAAAATTGAACCAAAAATTAATTCTTATGGTGATAGAGATGGAAGGCTTTACAATGTTATTAAATAGATTTTAAAATATATAAGTCGAACCTCTTATAAGAAGCATAATTTTGAGCTGAAATAATAGTACCTTATATTCTGTGGTATTTAAAAATTAGCACTTAGATACCCCTAATGGTGCTTGAATTTTAGATTCTAGCTTGTATAAATTTTAGATTTTAAATTTTAGATTTATCATGAAGGCTCTTTAGTTCTCGGACTTTACTTTAATATAAACCCTCGTGACTGAAATATCTTATCCTACAATAAGGGTTATCTTGCATAGAAGATATTACTTATGCTAAACCTATGCCAGATTGCCTTTCCCACCCCCTCAGGGAGGTGGAGGTATCTTGCATAAGGAATATAGGTATAACGCTTAAGAAGCAATGATCTACCAAAATTTAGAAAGGTCAATTAAATTGAGGATATGTCAGAGATGGTCCATGTTGTGAAAAGAAGGGTTTCGTATCAGGTCTCTTATTTTGGGTCGTCCGGATTTTGGGTAACCCGTTCCGATCCTTAATGTCGGGCTCTGAAGCTTCCCATAATAATTACCTATCCATTTAGATTAGAGCAACATTATATCCAATTGCTGACGAGGAATCTGCTCAAAGCTTATCCTTAATAACAGAACATGAATTTTCCTTCGACTTTACATTTAATCGTTCATTGCTTAGAAAACATGACGAAACTTTAAAAGAAAAATTTAAAAGATTAAAAACAAATATGTTAAACAAATTTTCAAAAGATCACAAAAGAATGTATAATATAAGAGGGATTGAATTTGAAGGTTTAAAAAAAGTATTGGTTGAAATTGATATTCCGATTAATGAGAGTTCTGATTTTATTAAGGTAATTCATCTTAATCCTTTCTGCCTCGGGATTTACAACAGGGTTGTCGTTTTACCCTATTTATAGGGGATTTTCCCTATTTTTGGCCTTTTCGCCCTATTTTTTCCCTATTTTATACATTTGCCATATTTTGCCCTATTTTTAACATTTTGTAATATTTTTAAAATTTTCAGGCATTTTGTATATAAATTGCGAAAAAAAACAAAGAAATCTAACTCCTGGACATAAAAATTTCCAAAATTTTCGCCTGCGGCGCTGAAAAAAGAGAAATATCTCACATTATTTTTCTTAATTTCTCAAAATTTTCGCCTTCGGCGCTAAAAAAGGAAAAAATCTGGTTTGATAACTGTACAAACTTCTCAAAATTTTGCTAAATATTTAAGAAATCTATTGGTTACAAAGCTCTTGAAGATAAACTTGATTATCGAAATCGAGAGAGACAGCTCTTGCAATTGTCGTACGATAAAAAATTTCAGTTTTTCGAGATATCTCGTACTATTCACGTACGACATTCCCAGGCTAGTCTCTAATCTGAACTTTACTGTTTTTTAGAAATTTAGTTAAAACTAGCGGAGAACATGCGGAATAAGCCTTTTTATTTGAAATTTCAATAAATTTTAAGCTTTTAAAATATTGCCCTATTTTTTGCCATATTTTTTACCAATTTCGCCCTATTTTTTCCCTATTTTTGAGTGGCTGCGCCCCATTTTAGTGGTTTGGAAACGACAACCCTGATTTACAAGAAAAGCTAGACCATTATCTCCCGCCTCCGCCTCCGCCATAATCGAAACTTGTTTAAGAGGCTCATACAGGGACTTCATGATATGTACTGAGGCAGACCTCATCAACCTCCGAACTGTTCTCATAAATTGCATATCGGGTGTCTCAATCGGTCGAGTTCGGTTTTGGTTTTCATTACATTTAGTGAAGGTGAGATAAATACGGATCTGAATTTTCTTCTGGTTTCATTTGACGTTTCGTGGCCTCAGTTTCTATGATTTAAAGACCTTTTTAAGATACTAATGTAAACGTTATAATGCATTATTTTTTATAATGCCATTACTATACATAATGCATTTATTGCGAGGCACTTTCTTCCACATCAGCAGGTGATCTATCAACTTTGCGCGAAAGACTGTAGGTAGAAAAAAGTGGAAGAAATCTCATCCCTTGCTATAAACTGAGCTACCGGGACGTTGCTTTATCTTCCTGTTTTAAAACATAGCAAAAGCATTTTGAATGCTAGACGTCTGGATTTCCCTTCTTCTTACAATTTTTATTATTTTTATTGTTGCTCATTGCAGCTGAATAAATATTATTTTTCAGCGGTCATGGCTAATTCATCATCCCCATTTAAACAAGCGTTTTACCTTCTTTGTTGGTGCCTTCTCTTCGGATATTTATTTACGGGCTCGAATTACTTTATTTGATCAAAAGGAATCTGATCCTTTCTTTGATGACGAAGACAATGTTTTGATTAAATCGGAAGATGAAAATATAATTTTTGAAAAATTTAAATTTAAAGATGTGAAAGCTTTGGAAAAATATGAAAAAGAAAATAATTCGAAAGTATATCCTACTTGGAGAGATAAATATAAAAATTGGGTTTGTATTTTGTTCCCAGAGAGACGCAGCTCTACTCAGATATTGTAAATTACTTATAATTAAGTTAATTTTTTTAATGGAGACTTGGTGTAGGAAGGATGTAGACTTGGTATAGAAAGGAAAGATCCAGCTGGAAAGGAAATATCCAGCTGGTTCTGTAAGACAACTGGAATGCCAACCTTAATCTAGTAGACCCGATTCCCCAAATAGGGAAATAGGATATAAGCCTGTCTCAGGGTCATCTAGTTTATGCAATCTACCTATGTAGTATAGGGTATATATATCTACCTATAGGGTCATTAGCAACCAAAGATGGAATCGTTTAGGATCTATGTAGGAGGCGGCGTGGTGTGATGGATAACAAAGGTCGATTGAAGATGTTGGTTCGCTCCAAGCACCCTAATAACCTTCAGAGGTGTTTCGAAACAAAAAAATCCTCGAAAATCGGAAATCGAAAATCGAAAGAAAAAAAACCTCGAAAATTGAAAATCGAAATTTCGAAACAGCTCTGATAACCTTCTGCATATCATTTAAACTAGGTGGGGGGTTATGATGTACAGTTTTATTCATTTCCGATTACTTAGAAGTCCCAATCAGGGTTGCCGCCCGAAACCCGAAACCCGATACCCGAAACCCGGCCTTTTTTTGTACCCGAAACCCGATACCCGAATTGAAAATTTTTCAACCCGAAACCCGAAACCCGTACCCGATATTTTTTCCAACCCGAAACCCGTGACCCGAAATTGGTTAAAACCCGAAATTTCTACCCGAAAACTTAGCCTTACCCGATTTTTTAAAATAAATTTAAAAAATTATAAAAAGGAAAAGGGAAAGGAATATTTATAATTTCTTCCATATTTCCCTATGTTGATCGGTGGCTGAATGGGTAAGGCGACTGGCTCTATATTTTAATAGAGGTCGGTTCGAGCCCAGGTCTGGAAATGAGGCCTAAAAGTTTTTCTTTTCAAAAATAAATGTTTTTAAACTTTGATTTTCATTTTAGATTTTTAAATTTATTTTTTTTTAATATTTTAATCTTGAAAAACCATTAAAAATTTTAATTTAGTCATGAATTTTGCAAAATTTTCGCCTGCAGCGCATAAAATTAAGAGTTCTGGCCTCCTAAGTCCTTACAAAATTCTCAAAATTTTCGCCTGCGGCGCAAAAAATGGAAGAAATTTGGCTTCTTGGCCTTAAAAATTCTCAAAATTTTCGCCTGCGGCGCTGAAAACTGGAGAAATTGGAGGCTTTAATGGAGATGAAGCGGAAGGATATTAGTATATAGTGGGATTTTATCAAGGTGATTTAACCCAGATATCCCTCTTTATCCCCAAATCCCACAATGTCTCTTTAATCTCTTCAACTTTGCCTCTCTATATCACCCAAAATCCTATTAAGCAACATAGCTTGTCTCCATACAATTTAGTTCACGAATACCTGAACACCCGAAAATAACCCGGATTTTTCGCCAAACCCGAAACCCGTACCCGAAATTTTTGTCAACCCGAAACCCGTGACCCGAAATGAAAATTTTATAACCCGAAACCCGAAACCCGTACCCGATATTTTTGCCAACCCGAAACCCGTGACCCGAAATGAAAATTTTATAACCCGAAACCCGAAACCCGTACCCGATATTTTTGCCAACCCGAAACCCGTGACCCGAAATGAAAATTTTATAACCCGAAACCCGAAACCCGTACCCGAAGATTTTTTGTACCCGCGGCAACCCTGGTCCCAATCCTTAAATATTTTTGCAATAAATTGCTCTAAACTAATTTAAAATTTAATTAAAGGTTAAATATTCCAATCCGCAAAATTTCATTTAACAAAAACAAGGATGGAATTGTTGAGGAAAATAACAATATATTAAATTTTAACAAAATTATTTTAGCAATTGAGACGGAAAGAGTAATTAGTAATTAAAAATTAATTTTAAAAAATTTATACAGGATCAAATAAATCTAAAACGGGATGAGGGAGAGACTTCTAAAGCTAATGAAAATAATGAAAAGAATTCTGAAATAAAGGAAAATTTACAGGAGGCAACTACTCATATACAGGATCATCTGAATCTAAAACGCGATGAAGGAGAAACCTCTAAAGCTAATGAAAATATTGAATCGAAAATAAAAAACGAAGATTCTGAACTAGAAAATGAAAATTTACAGGAGGAAACTGAATCTAAAGTATCTAAATGGATCGAGGATAACCTGCCCACTAACACATCCATCAAGCCCGACGTCGATGTAAATTTTTATTCTTAAGTGTTATGGATTAAAATGAGATATTAAAAGAGATATCGAGGCATTTGGGGATTAAGCTCATTTGCCGTCTGGTGCTTTGTGTTAGGCGCTACCATTGCTGATGGAAATTTTTATTTAATAATTAAAAATATTTAGTCACCAAATGCTGTAAATAAAGAATCAACAAAAAAAGTTCAAGGAGAAGAGCATTGTCCTATTTGTTTGAGTAAATGGAGCGAAAATCCAAGACCTACAATGACTGGACGCAAATGCAATGTAACGTATTATTATACAATACGATCTCAAATTTACAAAAACCCTTGGGGTCGGTCAGAGTTTATTCAAAATAATTTAGAATTTGGTATATGGCAACAGTGGGATGGTTATCCTGAACCAAATAACTAAATCTAAGCTTTATTTGAGGGTTATCCTCATCGATTTCATTAACTTCACTAGCTCATAGCACCTCGTGGAAACACTACCCCACCTCTTTTCCAGCTTCTAATTAAGACCGGGACTTTAAGTAAATGATAATCATAGTGAATATACTTCAGGAACCGGGTCCTCAAGAGATATCCCTCGATAAACTAGAAATATTAGCGGACCCAAACAAGATAAGTACCATAATCCATGCTGGATCAGAAGGTTCTTTTACTTTGAAAACCTTTTTACTTTTACTAGCACATCTTTCACAAAGATTGTGTTTATGGATGGCTTGAAGATGATGCATCTCCATTAACATGTCCAGCTTGTAGACAGCCCTATTTGGATATTAAAATTCCAATACAAGAGCCAGTATTTTCTGATGGAACCTTTTTTTATGAGGTAAAATTTTGCTAGAAGGTCTTATAAGCAAATTTTCGTGGAAACAGCACCACGGATATTATAATCCTATAGGCTAGTAATTATAATTTATAACGGAATTATTGAACTATGCACACTTATGCAAGTGATCTGCCAGTTTTGCCTTTTTAAATGTGCCAGTTTCTCCTTATTAGGGTTTCACTTGAAACGAAATTTTGATCTGAACCGGAACCGGGTCCAATCTGAGTTTCTTAGTTACGACCCTTCAGCTGAAGGGGAACTTCCAGTGAAACCCTAGCTGGTACCATAAGCCTTGTATTTTGCTAGATCAAAGAATACTTTAAAAAATTAATTGAAACCAACAGGCATTGATCTAAACACTTTCTTAATTTTTTTACAAAATTTTTAAAATATTTTTTAGTATCAAATCCTACTCGACCAATTTCCTCATACTGATTATAACAGCAGAAACTATTTTATTCAAAATCAAAGTTCAATTAATGATATAGATATTTTGAAATATATCTATACTTTTCGACCACCTAAACATCCAAGTTTGTCAAAATCTGTAGAATTGGGATATTCTAGAAGCAAATTGGCAACTTTTGATGTTGAGGATATTGAGGAAGATGAAGAAAAGAAAAAGGAAGGAATTGTTATAAATTGAAGCGGATAAGTGATATTAATCTACAAGGAACTTTTGGCGAAAGAGGCCCAATTCGAAATTAGTTTTTCGATATTTTTAATAAATTTAAATTTCAATTTAATTAAATATTTGGCAATTTTTGTAAATTATTTAAATATTTTTGTATATTTTTTACCAAAATTTTGTGAATTTCTTAAATCTCTTATTTTACCGTAGCGATTTTCAAATTCCAAAGAAACGCCAAAAAAGCCAAAAATGCATAACGCCATGCGGTTCACCTTAAAGTAACGAGAAATTTTTGCGTTCAATTACTCTTTATGATTTCAATCAGTTTCTTAGTTTTCGGATTATTCGGACAATAAGTCGGAGAGAGATAAAAGAGATGGATAGGAAAGATAGCAGAGACCATGGTAATGTCATACTAGATTCGAGAGAGAAAATCTCAAACCAGCTCGATTCTCAATAAGCGAGCTTGTTGTACGAGATCTCTGCTCGGTACGATCTCTAATCCTTAGCTTATTTTCATAACAGATCATTAAGCAACTGAAAATTTTAAAAGAAAAATTTTCATTAAAGTCGTCCAAACGACACAAGTGCCAATTAAACTTGAATTTAATTTAGCGTTAACAAAAAAAAATTAAATTAGAAAAGGAAAAAGATATTTTTTAATTTAATAAGCATTTACGTGAAATTTAACTTTTTTAAATTTAACTATTTTTAAATTTAATTGAACTAAAATTTAATTAAAAAAATTTTTTTCTAAAAAATTATTTAAAAATAAATTTAATTTTAGGTTGTTTCTAATTGGGGGGATATTATTAAATGCTTCCACTATAATTTAATTTTCTAAGAATTATTTTATAAATTTATTTTGAGGTGGAGTTCTGGTTCATTTTTGTGGTTCACTTTTTCTGCTCTTAGTTTTCTGAATGAACCAAACGAGAACAGCATTAGGGTCTAGGAAGAAGATTATAAAAAATTGAATTTCGTACTACACCCGTTCCTTCTTTCCTTTTTCAAGTACTAACTGCAAAATTGTTAACCGAAAACTTTCAACGACTCAAGATCAAGACGACCCCAAGACCGAAAAAAATCCATAAAATGTTTTGAGTCAAGACTTAAGACCAAGAGTTTCGGAAAGGTCTGAACGATACCCCTCTGTCTTAACTTTGTTGAGATAAGAAGCAAAGCGCCGTAGTAGTATTACAATAGGAGTCTGGCCCAAGAATATGTCAAACGACGATATCGTGTTCTAACCGATTCGTTTTTCAAAATCTGGGGAATTTTTTGAACGTTCGTAAAATTTGGGAATTTATTTTTCATGATTTTTTAATTCATACTTTTAATCTTTATTTTATTAAACTGTTCCCTTGTAATAAAATTTTTTAAAATTATTTTAATAATTTATTTTATAAATGCTTCCAAATTATATTAATTTTTGCTTTTTTAATAAAAAAATTTTATAATTTAATTTTTAAATAAAATAAAAAATTGACTTTGAAAGAAAAATTAAGTTTCATTTTATTATTTTATTAAAATTAAATTATCTTAAAACTTCTCAATGAACACCTCCAACGATGAAAATTCCGGATTTCTTTCCTGGATTGTTTCTCTTCGAACTGAAGAAATTTATTTTTCAATTTTGTTAAGTATACCTTCCTTAATTTTATATATTTCTGAAATTATTGTTATTATTTTTAAAAAACAATTTCATAATTCTTTTTATGCTTTGTTTGTTTTGAGAGCTATTATGGTTTGAATTTAGACTATATTTGGATCTCCCTATAAGATACCCTCTCGATAATTGCACCTATCAACGGGTATTCAAAAAGATTGACGTCTCCTGGGTTCCTCCTTATAAGGTACCTTCTTTTGCCTGATAATTTTACATATAATGAGGTGTATTTACCTATAATGAGGTGTATTTACCTATAATGAGGTTATTTTAAAAGGAGGATATTGCTTCGGAAGCCTCACTATTACCATCAAACAACATAGATTTAAAGTGGGGTGGATCTAGTATTGGGTGTATTTTATAACATCATCCTTCATTATATTATAATGATCACACTATAAGATATACCTTGATGAGATAGATTTTTAGACTTTGTAATTACTAGGAAAGGACAGTTGTGTACCAGTTTCGGCTGTTTTTTCGCCTTTCCCTCTTACAAAAAGTTATGTTGGGTAAAACCCTCTATTTAATATACACAGCAGAGCTGTTTAAAAATCGAAAAATTTTCAAAAAAGGCCAACTTTTGGCGAAGGCATACCCCTAATACACCAGTACTTCAACCCTAAGAATTTGACCAAAAGTGAGGTCCTTCGAATGTAACTAGTCTATATTAAGGATACTTTAAACGTTTTGGACTCTTATTATGGTTCACGAATTCCAACACTTTTTGGTTCAGAAGTATTTCAATTCTATTCCAACTTGCCACAACCAATCCTGGCACTCTTCAATGTACTTTGCACATATACATTTCAAGGAAATAATTTGGCTACAACATTTATTCTATTAAATAGATTTACAGCTGTTGCTTTTCCTTTTTATCATGAAAAGGTAACTTAGATAAACAGTTAAACCTCACCCCCTTGTGGCAGAAAATTGGTTTTATAATCGAGGTAGGATTCCCTGTCTGGTCTCTTATCAAAATCTTAGCCAGAGTTAAGCATCCCAAACTTGGTATCCATGGTCTATTTTATGAGTTCGTAAGACGCTTGTTCTATACTAAAGCCTTATAAATTTATTTGGATTTTTGTGCCGAGTTATGGCCATTCAAAGTTTAATTCCTTGGATGTGATTGAAGATAAGGAAGAGGGGGAAAAGCTCTTTTTTTACACTCTCTGCTTTCTTCACATTGCTTAAGCAGGTGCCCTTCACAGTAGGAAAGTGAGGGTCCTATATCGAATGTTACAAAAAATACCAAATTCGCACTGACAGTAAACAAATTTCATTGTGAGCCACGGGAGGGTGAAGTTTCCAAAGCCTCATGCCGCCCGATTTTCGTGGAAGTATACAACCCTAAATCTTATTAAATTATTTAAAATTTATAGTTATGGAGCAAATTGCTACCGTTTTCAATACTTTTTACAATACTGTTTCCAGTTTTGTTTTCTTATGATTATTTCAATACAGAAACTATACTTTCTCTTGCGCCTGATAATACATTTATGCTTATAGGGGTGATTTTTTATTTTCATATAAATTTCTATCTACTGTTTCTGCCGGTTTTTTTGTATGCCTTATTTGCATACATATTTTTAATTGTCAAAAATTTTATTATACGAATAGTAAGTCAAAAAGAGTAAGACAGATAACATTTTATATGACAAAAGCCCGCACAAACACAACGCCAAACATTTACGAATTTTATTTTTTAAATTAATTTCAGGGTGAATATTCAATTAAGATGAATCAGTTTACAACTGTTTTCTCAATTATTTTTTTAATTATTTGTTTAATTATAAGCACAGCAACCTTTTTAATTTATCGAATTAAAGTGGCCAAAAAAGAATCGACAGAAAGTTCAAAAA